TATTCTCGTCTGCCCACCCCTGTAACCTGTCCAGGTCCGATTGCAGCCTATTCCTCCCTTTTAGCGTGCCCACTTCCCCCCACAGACTTACCAGCTGAGCACTCACTACACATGCCAGAAGAAGAAATCTCAAGATTTGAGGGTTCTATCCCAAGATCATGAGTTAATTTGACTTGGAAATTGCAAGTTTCAAGTTTTTTTTTCACAAGAGTTGGCATTACTTTATATATAAACACAACTGTTTTGCTTTCTCCATTCTACAAAGTGCTCTACTTGATTTATAAGGAGGAAATCTACCCTGCCTTCTGCCCATAAAATTTCTTGCCTTGACTTGTGTTAAAAGAAAAAACATCCAATTTCCTTCCTCTAAACCCAGGAGTTTGAGGTAAAAAGGGCTCAGTAGTAACAAGAACTACTGCAGCCCTACCTCTTTTACATTTTTTTCCATCATTCTTTCCTGCACAGTACAGGATGAGTGAGCTCAAGTCAATATCTACCCTCCTCAAAACAAACTAAAACTATGCGTATTGTGGGTATACCTTACTTTCATTACTTTAATCTGGTCCAAATACTTTCAGCTATCAGATATACCTGGGGAACAGTTTTAAAGTGACCAAGTCTTCTCCAAGCTACAACTAAACATTTCTGGAAGACTATATTTGTCCTTCATGCGAGGTCTGATTCTAACTGACCCCATAGTCCCTTTACACCAATCTGGCAGCATAATTTAAATACTTTAAGGTCCTTTTACACAGCTAGAATAGTACAGAGGCACTTTGGTGGAGATGGGACTGCAGCCCTTTAACTTTCCGAAATGGGGATTTGATAAAGCACATAACTTAGACAATTAAAATAAAATAAGTTTGGATATGTGGAAAATGTGTGTCTCTTATTGGTTCCTTTGGTTTAAGAGATAGTACAAAGGAGTTGCCATTCTGAAGCAATCCTATTGCTACATAACAGTTCAGGTTTCATCTTGGTGCGCTCAGCCATTTTTGGATGAGTTTGGTTTATTAAAGCACACATGTGGTTAAGTGTCAGAAAGGACACATCTGCATTTTTAAAACCTTTCAGACAAGTTAAAAATATTGTAGTGCAGTGAAAAGCATTTAGGAGCTCAGTCCTTCATCCCTGAAGTCACAGAAATGTTTGGTTCTGTGTAAAGAGAACTAGGACCCTTGCCCTGCCCTACCACCATTTTATTTCCAGAGAAACCTTGATTTTCTTTTTTTGTATTTTCCCCATCAGCAGTAAGTTTGCCTCTACTGTGTAATACAGTGAACAACTTATCACTCTAACGTTTTCTCTTCCCCCTCCCCCTGACAAGTCATAGGCAGGCCAGCTCTCATACATATTTTTAAGGTTCAAATCTTGTCCATCTGTTTGAGACTTCACAATTGCATACATGTCAATGCGACTCTTCATGTGCTTAAGTCCTGGAAGTAGCCAGCTCTGAGGTTATAAACACAGAGCCCTGTTTGACATGCATATGGGGCCCTGCAGGGCCTCTGGCTACTGCTGCAACTAATATTAAAAACTAAGAAACAAGCAAACAAAAACAAACTCATAATACCTCACCTGCCCACCACCTACAAATTCCTGGGCTGCAAACATACTCCCACCCTTCTTCCTCCATGCTCAGTTTTGTTGTCACCAACTTCAGTGCCACAATTGAATAATCAGTTTTCTGGTTTAAATTATAAGCCTGCTATAATTCACATCAATTTAAATTCTCCTTCTTTGGAGGGGTGAAATACATCCACAATATTTACCACTTGTTAAGTTTAGATGCAAGGACTAAATATAATGCACTTACTTTTTTTGTATTTGAAGTTTTCTTTGCACTTTGATCAGAAAGTGAGGCTTCATCAGGTGGCAGAGTCAAGCGCAATCTACACACATTGCCCTAGAATAGAAAAAAAGTTTGCTTTTATTTTTAGCAATGTTAAGGAAGGTCATTTTAATAATCTGCTCTATAAATCATGCACTAGCATCTGAGTTTTCATCCATCTCAAACAACGGGAAAATTACTTTCTAATGGCTGGGTTCTTTAGCTGACACAAAATAAGACAAGGACAATATTAAACATATGAAATACATTATTTGAAATTTTGGGGCTGTTCTTATAAGTAGCAATCATGAAAATAGTTCTCTTAACTTTCTCAACTATGTTTGCAGTTGGTACAAGTTTGATCTTTAAAATGGGAGGCAACATAGAGAATATCAAATACATTCTAGAATGAATCCTGCTTTTTGTGTCCAGTCCAATGGATATCATTAGCAGCTGTAAGAAGACAACAGAAAATACGGCGAGTGAAGCTGATGGGGGAGACTTTGCCCTGGGTCCCCACTGAAAACCTGTTGCCCCTGGGTAATCCCACGCTGTAGCAGGTAACACTGCCTAGCCTCCCACCCTTCTTCTCCTGCACTCAAGCACAACCTCTTCCCCATCTCCCCACTGTGGCCAGGATGCACAAAAAACTAGCTATACTTCTGGAACAATGGTTCTCCAACAGGATGCCACCAAATTCAGAAAAGTTATGGAGGGCTGAGAACCACTTTTATGAACTAACTCATTTCAGAGATGCATGAGCAGGCTACAGCTTACTTCATCAGATGTCATGAAAGCAGGCTGTAGCCTATGAAAGCTCATGCATCTCTGAACAATTTAGTCTATAAAGTGCCAGCATGCCCTGCCCTCTGCCAAACAGATATTTGTTAGGGGCAAAAGCCTTGCTGAGATGAGGGAAGAAATGAAAATTAAACAGGTAAGAAAAAAAAAAAGGATGAGATAAATATAGTATTAATCAGACTGTGGGCTGATGAACTCTGAAGTCAAGGGGTGTGTTAGCTTTGTGTATAGTTATTAACTTGTAAACAGGAAAAGCCTCCTTTGCCATTATAACAGGCAAAAGGAAGCATCTGGAATTCTTTTCTCATGTAAATTACAGACAGCACCTAATCACTGTTGAGTCTGTATACCGTCAAGTTTGAATTCATCATTAAAAAAAAAAAAAAAATTACTGGTTATAGTAAATTCTACTGAAAATTTTGAAATTAAAACTTGTTTCCCTTCTAAATTTTACTTCCTACATCACAGTCACTTCTTACAGAAAAAGATTTGATAACAGAGCCTGGATTAATGGCATTAACCAAAATACAGGCTTGGCAAATATATCTAAAGAAAAAAGTATACTGAACTCTAGCCTCATTAACTTGCATAGCTTTTCTTTGTACTATTTGTGTGGATTACAGTGTCTCAGAGTTTTCTAATGGGCTAGGACTCCCACTGTGCTAATCACAGATATAACACAGAACAAGATAGATTGTTAGCTCTATGGGAGAGGGACTGACATCAGAGATGGAAACAGATGGGTTGCCTATACTGATCATGATAGCAGCGTTTTCAGTATACTTTGGCCCAACCACCATTGAGGTTTTTTGTAGGCATAACAAAGGAAAAGTTTAATGAAGGGATAATAAAGTAAAGTAGCATTGTGGATATTTAAAAAGGTTCTCCCATGCATGTAGGACAGCTGAGAAAGCACAAAAGTGCCTTTTTTTTAATGAAATGTTGAGGAAGGCAACATGCAAGTGGAAGTCACATCTTGATAGTGAATGAGAGGCAAATTTTGAAAGCAGACAAGCTAGCTCACATTTGATGACACAGAAAAGCATGAACCACTGATACAATGGAAAGAGGGGTGACACAAAGTAACAGGCTAAGCCAATGATCTCTGCACCATAATTCTGAATAGGGTAAGAGGGCATTTATCAAGGCCAGAGAAAAGGACATTATAGTAGCCAAGATGTAAAATGGGATCCTTGCCAGAAATTAGCTGTCTGCATGCATGCATAAAAAGGCTATAATCTAGAGATGTTCTGCTGCAAGAATTTCTAACATTTGGGTATTGCCTGGATGTACAGAGGTCCAAGTCAAAGATAATAGCTAGGTTATAGGCCTGTGTGGCAGGTAGCTTGGTGCTGCTGTTGACAGTAACCAGAAAAAGGATGTAGCTAGGAGCAGTTAAAGGACAAGAGCTTGAAGGTGCTCTGTTCTAGCCATGTTGATCTTGTGCTGACAGATGCACATCTATAGGGAGATGTCAGTGACCAGTCCAGATTTCATTGTGTATTTCCTGAGAGCAGATACCACAAGTTGAATTGTTACTGCTCTGTATTTAAACAGTGAGGCTTCAAGAGACTGAGGCCCTCTTATGAAAGGCACTGTACACCTACAGTAAGAAACAGTTCTTGTTGCAAAGAGCTTATGATTGAAATAGAGGAGACACAACGGGGAAAGAAAAGGAGCCTTAACCCCATTTCATCGATTAGGAAATGGCTTTTCTAATGTCTTATTAGAAGGACCGTTTAGCTTGATTTTTGTTAAACAGTTCAGGGCCTGCAAGGGCTACAAACCTTCAGGTATATGATGAGAGTAGTCCCAACAAATCCAGTGGAATTTTGGGGCTCATAACAGCCTTAATTTGGTTGTAGCTGTGGAAGGGTTAACACAGTAAGTGTTGCTGACTCTGTCTGGGCATCTGAGCCTCCATTCCAACCTCACACTCCAGCCAAGTGAAACTACCCCCTGCACCTCTGTTTCCAGGAGGAGGTACACCAAGCAGACTGGGAAGGGCTGCAGCATGAGAAACACCTGCTGCAACTGCTTCCCAATCTTCCCAACATATTCCCTCCTGGAAGCTGAAGCACAACAGACAAGTCTACCAGGCCACAGTGGCACTATAAGGCACCATGCTGCCCTATTTTACCTACTTTTAGACCAATATGGCTAACTACCTCTCACAAGCATTTGTTTGTAAGTGTGAACTGGAAGGGAGCAGTTGATGTTTTTCCAGGATAAGCCAACAAAAGACACAGAGGGAGGTAGTTAGTTACTTACCTGGCAGGGGAAACACCATGTAGCTGGGTCCATTAAGGCAGTTTTCCTTAAGTGTTCCCAGGAATAACTGTTCTTCTGGTGTGGTTTAGTACCTGCCGAGGTGTTGGAGCTTAAAGCCCACTTTATGGAAACGGGAGGCTCATCCCTACCTTGCTCCTGTAGCTATATGGCTGAGGGCAGGTGAAACTTGGGGGCATCCAAACCCTAAGCCTCTGGGCTTGGGCCTGCACGTAGGATGCCTACCAAAAAACTTTGGAAATCTCTCAAGCCCCTGGTGGGGGTGGAGGATGTTTGCCAGTCATAGGGCCACTTATGGTTCTGGACTGACTCATGGATTTGGACTTGATTTGGCTTGGAACCTTTTTTTAATTTTTTTTAAAGAAAAAGTTAGCCATGTTAGTCTGAATTTAGGCAGAAAGCTAGGTAGAGGTGCATCTTATAAACTAAAATTTATGTCAGCTTCTGTAAAGACAAAAGCCTTGCTGGACTCTGGGAAAGGAAGGGTATTTAGGGGATTGTACTGGGAGGCAATATGAGAAGCCAAATCTCACTCCCAACGGAAGCAGAATTCAGCCAAAACTGATCTGCATCAAAGGAGCATTCAACGGGTTTTTTTGAAACACAATCACTCTTCCTAGATTAGACTGCCACTGTTTCTTTTATTTTAAATGTTCTCCTTGCTCTTTGGCAAGAGAATGAGACAATCCTCAAAGATAGAGTAAGAGCTATTCAGCACAGAAGCCTATCAGTGTAGAGCAGGGGTCAAAGTATTGTCTGTGGGTTGGGTCTAGCCAGCAGAGCCCCAGGGCTTTGCTTATGGCTGCCCACATCAAAACCAGAGCTAAGCAATGAGGAGCTACACCAGGGCTGAGCAATACCCACCACTGTGCCTTTCCTGCCATTACTTCTTTCCCCCTTCCCTTAGCGTTCCCCCCAGCTGGGGTATGGGCACATCCTGCCAGCTGTTGGGGACCTGTGCTATGGTTAAGCAGCTGGAAACTGCATCCACGCTGCAGCCGCTTGTCCCTCCTTCCTCCCCTACCCCAAGCTACAGACCAGCCTACACACAGCTTTCAGGTGCCTAGCCTGGGTCCAGATCCCTATCTGCTGAAAGCTGCACCTGTGCCCCAGCCAGCAGCAAGGGGCTGAGAGAAGCAGCAGTGATGTAGATGTGGTGAGGCATATGCAGCTCACAACTGCTTGGCCCTAGAATGGGCACAGGGAAAGCCCCCCTGCCATCGACACACCATGGAAACCACCTTGCTCATATTGAACAGGAGTTAGATTGTTTCAGCCTATGGCTTGAAAAGGTTGCCAGCCTGGCATAGAAGGGCTACAACAATCATATTTACACATGCATTGTCAATAATCAACTGTAATTATACAAATCCCTTGCATCTGTATGCCAATCAGTGAATTGCAACTATGTGAGAGAAACAAGCATTCATATATTATGTGGCTTACTGTGGAAAAACCAAACAATTACGGTGTGCACACAGCCACAGTTCAGGAAACTAAAAAACTGGTGAGGAGTTCTAAATCCAGGTTAAATGATTGTGTAGGCTCTCTACCCTGAGTGGCTAAGATTAACATATTTAGTATTATCATGTTGAGATTTTATTTCTTCCCCCATTTTTTTCTGCTTTGTAATTAAAAAAAGTGAAGCAGCACCCTTCTTGCAGATTTCCTTCTCTACTTTCTGCCCAACCCACCTTTTTTGTTTTCCGCCTTTTATGCCCCTATACTTTCCACCCCTCGTACCTCCCTGCTTGGAGACCCCTCTGACACACAGAATGTAGCTCCTATTTCCTTAGGCATGTTTGCAGAGCAGTGCTGGGAGCTGCATAGCAAAACAAACTTTACTGTTTCAGTTTGCAGCTTGTAAGGCTGATAGAATAGTAAAGACTGGATAGTTTTAGATTTCAAGTCTGATGAGAAGACTGGATCCTATCAAATTCTATAAGGCTGTTAGGGCTCTACAGACTAAGGCAAAGCCAACAGACATGGTTGTACTTCTAAAATATCAATAGCCCCAATTAAATTAGTGCCTACAGTGCCAATCCCAACAGGCCTATGCATCCAAAGATGTGCACATTTACAAACAGAGCCAGTTGCTCAGCCTTTTAAGGAATTCCTATTCTGAGGGTCTCTCTCTCATAGGGCCTTCAAAGAAGCAGGTACTAATAGTCTTGTAGGACAAACATGGACTCCCATAGTCTAACTTCCTCTGAGGTACCAGCTTCTAATGATGCAAAGCAGGCCACCAATTCTCCCTTTTTACTTAGTATTTCCCCAGCTACACTAGTAGTAACAGCAACAGAAGTATAAATGGTCATTCAGTCAGTCCCACTGCTTCCCAAATTAAGTACTCCATGCTGAAGCAGGATTACAGGCATAATCCTTTGCTACTTTTTTGGGATTGATTTAGAGAGGAGGGAAGAACAAGCAACACCGGTTTCCCTCGGTCTTCAGAAGCAGTAATGTACTGCTGCTAGGGAAGCAGCACTTTGCATAATTTGCCTGCAGTTTTATTGGTCAACCTTCAGACTGTGGAGATCTAGCCCTCAGCTGCAGAGGGGGTTGCAGCAACTGGAAACAGGGAATCTCAAACAAAACCAGGGAGGAGGTTGGGTGGGGATGCACCTAAATATTGACTGATGGTAAGAGAATGTGACAGCAGAGGATAAAGAGACAAACAATTGCATGGTGTGGAAGAAGGGTTAACTACTCATTGGGGGAGAGGAAGAGATCATTCCTTGAAGTCACAGAGGAAGAGATTCATTTTAGGGAGTTTTTTCCCCCCCAGTGACAGCTGCCAGTGGGAAGTAGTTAACTGAGCAGAAATCCAAGTGTCCTTCTAATCTCTCTTCATGTCATCAACATCATATTAAAATAAAACCGACTTATCTTGTTAGTGAAGTCCTGATAGATGCAAGATTGTTACTTTTGTTAAAAAAAGCAGCAGCAGGGAATGCGCTATAATGAAATAAACTTTTAAACTTTGCATTTGCAGTAGCTGTGGCTTTACCAAGTTACTTGCACAAGGAAGACTGTTCCAATTTGGCCAATATCTACTGTTGGCTCCAAGAAAGTTACCAACCCACAAACAGTATTTCCAAAGCTGTATTTGGCATCATTTATAACACAGATGCATAAAGCAGACAGCAAAGTTTGCCAAATGCAATGGAAATGAACAGACGGAGACGTGCTTACAGCTGGCTTCTAAGACACTAACAGTATAGCATAGGTTGTTGCAGTGCAACATTCTTTATTTCCCTACTTTTTAAAAGCAGATTTTTAGATTGCCTTAAAAATAGCAGAAGTAATTCTTACAAAGAAAAGCACCCATTTGGAATGAGTAGTCGCAAAGAAGGGCCAGAGCCTCAAACCATGAATGATTACTGTGACAATAATTCTTCTGCCTTTTTTCACAAAAGAAAGATGGGGGGAAGCAAGCCAGTAATAAAACATATCCAATACCAGCAATAAGGTTAGAAGAACAAAATATTTTTGCTAGGAAAAATAAGTC